AACATGAACGCAACCTTTTGTCTTAATAAATGATTCAACATACGGTAGTGAGTGAGTCATATGTTGTGACTCAGGTTGTGTTTACGCATGACCTAGCTGAGCACATCACTGAAGTGTACAGGCTATTTATTACCGCCATCTACTGGGCTGGGATTTTACAAATAGTGGTGTCCCATTTCTTAGGGAGAAAATCTTCACTTGCACTTCCCTGATGGAGTGTACTTCACTGTGGAGGGAACTCACTGGAGTGTTCTCAGAACCAAGAGAGAGAAATGGGACTGGGCCTAAGTCTGTTGTAATTTTTGTTCCTTTGTCAACATTGATTACAAATATCTACATAAAATAGTTGCTGGTGCTGTTTTTGTTTTTTATAAAAAAAAAAAATAATAAAAAAATAAAGATGTCTTATTTTAGCTTGGTTCTAAGATTCTGCTGAAATTCTGCTGGTATCCACATATTGAAATGACAGCATTGTCTCTAAATAGGTTAAAAGCACCTCATGCTACTCTTTTGTTTTGTTTTTTTACTCAAACTGACCTCTCTGGTTTTGTTGCAAAAAGGCTCAGCCATGGGGATGTGGCAGACACCCGGCGGACTGGTGGGCTGCCCGTCATACAGCGTCTGAGGCCTCTTGGTGGTTCTGAAAAGGAGAGGCAGCAAGTTTTTATATGGAGTCTGTCAAAGCAGAGGTAGCCACAAACAAAATGGAACATGTAACATAACCAAGAAAATAAAGAATAATTGTTGAAATGATCGCTAAGCTGAGGAGTTAGAGGGCAAAATATCAGGCAAGTATGCAATGATGTTGCGGGAGCATAGTGACCAACTGACTTGCAAAAAATGAAGTCTACAGTGTTCGTTTCGTCCTACTTTGGGTTTACCGTAGATGCAGCAGGATGTTTATTTAATGACCAAATATTTATTACAAACCATTCAGTTTCTGTAAATAACTTTTCACACATTAATGTTGCAGCAACGATACATTTATGGTATAATGTCCAGTCCTACTAAATGCACTGAGAAACCAATTTTGACAATAAGTGTTTGCTTGGAAACTTGTACAGACTGCCATAACACTAATAAGCAGTGTTTTTCTCATCTGTCCAAGACAACAAAAGCATTCTGACAGGATAGAGGCAGTTTTTTTCAGTGAACAACTGTGCTCCTGTGTGTGTACATGCCGAGTCAGCAGCGCTGGAAAAGACATGGCTCAACCCTGTTTCCATTGAGCCCAAAAAGCAGAATAATGGTGGGTGGCACAAAACTGACTTTTCCCTGCAAACTAACATCATGACTTCTGTGCTTACCAAAAGCCTTCCAGCTTTTTCTCATTTATGAATGCCATGAGTGTTTTGGGATTCAGTGACCTTATTTGCATGCAGTAATGGTGAAGAATTTTCCCATTGTGGGAAAATAAAGGTATCTCTATTCTAATGCATTTGATGCCTTTGAGTGTCATCTCAACGTTTTTGATGAAATAAGGAAAAGTAATGGTGTCCAAACCTCCCCTCTACTGAAACATATACAGCAGAAGAAAAGGTTTCCACACCTGACTCAAGGCAAAACTTCGACTTCTTGTTTCCTTGAGTTTTCTCAGCCAATATACAGTCACAGCATAAATATCTCTGACATCCAAAGTATGAACACCTCTGATGCCCTGCCCTTGTCTTTTACTTGTAACTGACAACAGATGATTATGATCAACCTTTAAATGCTTTGTGCAATCTTTGCAAAGCTTTATGTGAATAGCAGGGATGTTTTCCAGGATAAAGTATTAGCAGAGAACAATGCCCGATTGTTGCGTAAAAAATGACTATAGACTTGCATTTAGCTCAGCAGATGTTTACATGCATTCGTGATGGGATGTTTTTATTGTATTTCATTAAAAGAAATAATTTTAAAATTCATATAAACAAAACAATAGACACACTCCCAAATCAATTAATTTTGAATGAAAAGAAATAAGAACAATCTTATATCTGCCCTTAGTTCATTTAACAGCAACTCTGCATCAGCTCTTTTAAAACATTTACATTGTTTTTTCTCATTTATCCACATTTACTGTGATTACATTTTATAGTATTTATTTAAAATATTATATAAGTATTAAAATATTCAAAATGTAATACCATCATTATGTCCATGCACTCATTTTAAACAGCCCTAACAATGTAGTTTTTATGTTTGCTCTTTTTTTAAATCCATCATCATTTTGACTCTTATATTACTTGATCAAGTCCGTTCAAGAAATGAGTTCCCTTTAATGTGACGGTCCGTTACATAATCTTTATTTTTTATTTATTTATTTTTTTTAAAGGGGTCATTATGAATTATTTGAGCCACCCTTTTTACACCTTTCTTATCGTTATCCCAAGCTATTTATCCAGAGCTGTTATACATTTAGACTGCTGGAGGACAAAGGGATCCCTTTTCATCATTCTATGTCTATTCTCCCATTCTGCAGTATTTGTTAGTTCAATCTCTAATGTTATGCTCTCGCTGCTTTTCCTCATAGTAACTTCATCTGGTCTGTTCCTGGTTTGCTGTGAAATATCAGCTGTGCAGCTGCCATCAACACCTTTGTTTATAGATGTTGGAGCTTGGGCTGTTTTTCAGTGTAGTCTTGTTTCTCCTACTGTGACTAACTGTATGTGCTCTCTTTCATCCTCTGATATGAGAACTGGTTCAGAGCTCGTTTGCCTGGCAGTGTGTTTCCTGGACTGGACTGCCTGTGGAGCTGGTTGACAGTTACCTTTTTCATCTCTGCTTCTTTTTGTATGTCTGCTTCTATCTCCTTAAACCCCAATCAGGCTTGGCAGATGGCAACTCACACTGAGTCTGGTGCTGGTGGAGGTTTCTTCCTGTTAAAAGGAAGTTCTCCTCTCCACTGTTACTATATTCATGCTTGTTGTGAGGGGCCGTTGGAAAGTCAACAACAAAATGCAAGCAAAAATCGTTGCCTCAATGACCTTCAGGTGGAGCTTGTCTTGCAAGTCAATGACAAGATGCAATGAACTGGTTTTCCTTGATAGAAAAAGTTAAAACTCTGTACAGTGACTTGAGATGACGTGTTGGTAAATGGCGCTACATAAATAAAAATAATTATTACTAGAAGAGTGTTAGAGCAGTTAGTGCTGCTTTAAAACTCGAGAAAAATCTAGGAGGTGGTAGCTATGGGAGAGGCATCATGGTAGAATTATATATAAACTATCTGCCCATGTTTCTTGTTTATTCTGATATATATAATATGGTATAATAAATAGTAATATATTAAACCAATAATATATGCTAGCTCCACCCTGAAAATGAATAAATAAAAGCTAAAAAAATTTAAAGTTATCGGAACATCCAAGTTTGAAGACAGAAATTCAGTCAGCAGTGTGACATTCTGTATGTCTGCAACCAATAATTATTTTTTGTGTCCATGCATAAGTAGGTTAAAAGCAATAAACAACCTTCTCTAACTGCTTCTTTTTTTCCTTTTAAAAAGAGCCCTGGGGGTAAAGAGAAGAGTGAAAATAAGGACATTATTTATCAAAGGAATATTCTACCAAGGTATAGAGCCACTTTTGCATAGGAGAAAACCCCCTGATTATATATATATAAAAAAAAGGGCCTTAAATAATATAATTTGCTTTTAATAGATTCTGGGAGTGGTTGTAGAGCACAGACTTTTTTCTCTAATCAAACTTTGTGGAAATATATAATTAAAACTTACTGTATTTTATGATTAATATATAATTAAGGAACACCAAGCTATTACAAAAAAGGTAATTATTTTCTTACATCATAAAGTAAACATTCCTAAGAATTGTTGCATTGTCCATGAAACAGCAGCCGTTAAACATGGAGTACATTTAATTTTTTTTTATGCAGTCTAGCCAGTTTTGGGCAGATTCATTTAGCTATTTAATCAGCTAGAAAGATCAGTTACAGACGACTGCAAAGCGAAAATGAAAACAAAGGAAATCAACTCATTCGGTTCAGGCTTTTAGAACAACTCAGGGCATCAGTTTAAACAGACAAAGGCCCCTATTTATCGATCATTTAGTTTGTGCACGATGAGCCAACGAGACGTGCTGAGCTAAATCGATACCGTCACATGCAGCAGGACAAGTCTGAGCAAGTCCTCACACTCACTTCCTCATCATGGATGAACAAGTTGTAATACTGATAGTTCATCTGGTTCATCCATGCACAACAAACCAACCCGCTGAGAAATGTGGGAGAGCAGGTTATTTAAATCGGCTCGACTTGTTGTGTGTAATAAACAAATGAGAACTCTGAAAAATGTACAACTAGGTTGTAGAGATGGTGTGGCCTCGTTTTAACCCATAAGCTTTCCATAGGTACAAAACAAGTCCAGCAGTGCTTCAGTATCAAGGTGAGGAGGAGCTGAGGATAAATTCTTAACTAAAAAAACAAAGATAGCTTTGCTTTTATCGTTAAACGCACAATCAATGACAAAACCTTTGAAATACAGTAACTAAGGCATCACATAACTTTTTAGTTGCATTGTACTTTATCTATTTTACTATAATTCTGCCAACAAAACTGTGTGCTGTGTTACAAACTGTTTAGATGGACCTTCTTCAACTGCATGCTAAAACTAAATTTGGCACTTGGATGGACTCCGATAGGCTTCAGTTCTCACACCTGATTTAGTCAGTTGCTAAGATGCTAGAGCTAATGAAGTATGGCAGGAACAATCGTATCTCCCCATTATTGATTGAACTGTTTTTCAACAGATGTTTAAAGTGTGCGGTAGGGCTCGGCGATTAATCAAGCTAATTGTTTGTTTGTTTTTTTCATTTAAATGAAGATTAATTTTTTTTTTTTTCCCATCAATTCACTTCTTGGGCTTCCGTAGCTCAAAGTAACATTGCTTTATTGTGTTTTGTGTACTCTCATTACTGCTAAATTAGTTCACTGTATGATGCCACTAGAAAACAATTAGTTTGTTTATATTTCATTGTAGTGAAAATTTATTGTTTTACAGCATTTTTCAATGCTTGACTTTTATTGCCATTTAAATTAAAGTCACCTCTGACACTGCAAAAACAATTTAAAAATAAGTAGAAATTGTTTTTTATTTCAAATGTCAGTTGTCTTATCCTGTTGGCAAAGTGTCTTACTTAACTGCCAAATTCTAGAAGAAAATGCACTATTTTAAGAAAAATTGTCTTGCATAAATTTCAGATTTTTGCAGTGCAGAAGGGATGACTGAATTCACAGCTAGTTTTTTTTAAAGCAATCATTTGTATTTTTGATTAAGAAACTTAAGTAAAGAAATAAAATAATAATATTATAGCAGTTAGATTAATGGGATTTGATGGGAAAAAATTATCTGCTGTTTCATGGTCTCCATGATGTGGTTAGTCCTTTAAGAAAATAATGTTTGATGCCTTCACAGAACAGATATGTTTATTACTGGGGCAGCATGAAAACAGTTCCACCTGACTACGAAACTATTGCCATATAGCACAGCCAACATGGATAACCATTAACTCAGATTTATATTTTTGCCCATTTATAACAATGTCCCTCCACTCTTAGTTAGCTCTGCTATCCCTCCCAGTGGCTGGTCACATCTATGTGTGAGCTTTAACATCTCAGCATCCAGGCTTTGAACTGACTTGGAAATTTCACTGATTTTATTTTTTCCAACTTGATCTCAGTGGAGGACGCTTTTTCTGCACTGCTTCCCCAGGGGATGGGTTAAATGCAGAGAGATCATTTTGTTACTCTGTACTTGTAAGAGAATAAAAATTTGAAGAAAACAAAACTACTGATTATAGGACTTCCAGAGACACCTGGTTTTATTGGACTTTATTTAGAGGCATCAGAGTAGAAGTGGACTCTATATAAATCAATGCCACACTTTTCAGATTTTAAAAACTATTTAAAGATATGTTTCCTTTTTTTTCCCTACTTCAAAGTGTGTGTCCCAAAACCTGAAAAACACACGGTGCTTGTGGTTTGGCATTTTAAAAGCTCCCAGGTCTGTGAATGCTTTTAAAAGCAACTCTTCACTGGTTTGGCATTAGAGCTGCACTGCACGCCTATTTTCAACACCTTAACTCCCTTTTACATTTGACCCACAGAGAAGTTGTGTTTACAAGATGACTAAACACCTTTTCAGGTCTCTCAGCATTTCTTTGGCTTCATTCTGGCCTCAGGCGGAAGATTCCTCCCACGTGTATCAGGTTCTGCTTCTTTAATATTAGCTTTGAGGACATCAGACCAGGAGATTTATAAATGAACTAAAAACAGTCAACCTTGTCTAGATTTATCAGTATTAGACAGAAATTTCAAATAATTCATAGAGCATTTGTTTAAAAGGACACCGGCAATGATTTTCATTCAGCATCAGTTATTTTATATCAACAGCCCCTATGAGGACATCAGAAATTAACACCAAATATTGGAGAAACCCAAAATATCTGCCTGAAGTCATTCGACACACAGTGAACTTTCTACTAACTGCCAAACCGGACACACAGTCCAAGTATACGTTAAACAGGTTTGGCAAATAACTAACCATTGTATTAGTCATAAACAAAGCATGGCGTGGATTTTATCTAGGCACAGCGGGTAAACATAAAGTTACAGCAATAACTCTCCTGCAAGAATAAAACCTCACTGAATGAAAGTTGAGACACACAGGAAGCCTAAATAAACCACAGCCATTTACAGAAGTATCTCCTTCCCAAAGGTTCATACTTCAAAAGTTCTGTTGTCATCTTGGTCTCCGTCTCTGCTCAAGTGTCACATTTTTCACAAAATCTCTAAGCAGTTTGTGACATCAGAAGATATCAGCTACGTTTCCTACTGAACAGGATGGGAGGCAAAACGTGGTTTTCACACATTACACTAAACACGATGACGAAAAAAAAACAACGATGAAAAAAACAAACGCTTCCTTCCTCCTGGACGGACATCCGAACACTTGAGTTACACATTAAGACTAATTCTGCTCCAACATGATTCTAATCTCTAAACAAAAGGTCTGCTGATGTAAAGTCAAAGTGTTTAGTTTCATTAAAAAAGGGAAACCAATCCTTTAACCACACTACAGATTTGTTTTAGCCATTCTAAATGTAAATATACAAAACAATATATTTTAGGGCTGTCGATTATTATTTATTTTTTTTTTTTATATAATTATCAGATAGGAAAAGGTTCCTCATATAAGACTTTTTACGAAATTAAACCAGGTGAAATTAAACTTTTCCACTTGTGGAGTTCTTTATAGAGCATATTGACAGACAGAAAAAGTTCTCTTTACCTTAAATGCAATATATTTACATATTTTTTACAATCTTGATATAATTAAAGCTCTGAGTTGTTGGATTTTCTGTCAGCTAAAGGCATTTTTTAGAGTCTCTAATCCAGTTAACGATTAATCGATTACTAAATTAGTTACCGATTATTTCAATAATCAATTAATAACGATTAACTGTTTGAGCCCTAATATATTTATTCATTTAAATTAATAAAATGCATGAAAACAATTAGATGATCTTAAATTAGGGTAATTTTTGTAAAAACATTTAAAAATATAACTTGATCAGATTTTATTCAAAGGAAAAGCAACAATAATCGCAAAGTTTGCTTAAATAATCAAAATGTTACATTAAATTTGGGTAACAAATTTTTCTAACCTAACAACATGAGGCTTTTTGGCATGGGGCATAATAAATTTGGTTGTTCTGCTCTTTTTAAAGCCACATGTCTGGTTTATGCCTTAATTAATGACATCGGTACATAACGAAACAAAACTTAATAAAGAGCCTTAACCAAGTCTATAGTGCCATACACATCAATTAACATGCATGTCATTAAAACTGCTTACAGTATCCTCTGATCATATGAACAGGATGAATGCAGAGAGAAGGTTTCCTCAGGCTGCAGGCTTGAACTTATCCCTAACAAAGTGTTGATGAAAGACTTATAATGACCTTAATGACAAGCAATAAAATTGTGATCGCTATCAATGTTAAACTGTTAAACAGTTAAACTGGTGGCTGAGATTAAATGCACACTGTAAAAAAAAAAAGACCAGGCTTTCCCACAGTTGGCTGTAGAGTGACCTTCACCTGAGCGCTGAATTGTTTTTAAATCAAAATAAGTTGCAAATACTTTGAGAAACAGTTTAAAACAAGAGCGCCCTTAAAGGAGCAAAAAGCTAAATTTCATTATTTTAGGTTGAAAAAAAAATCATATCTCTGTGTTGTTCTCCAGTCTCTTTTTTTTCTCCATGGGCGCAACAGCTATAGCATAAGAGCTAAAAGGATGTATCCAGGGGAGCAAAACATTCACCTCTAGACAACCAGGACCCATTGCTGCCGCAGAAAATTAAAAAAAAGTCTTTTAACAAAGAAATTGTCAGATAAGGAGAGTGTTGGCTTACTGAGTTAGAGCTGTGTGCTTGTGCTCTGAGAAGGTTGCAACTACCCGATTCGATCCCCACAGCCTCCACTGTGGGTTCCTGAGCAAGACACTTAACACTTAAGGCTGTGTAGGTACCCAGGTATAAGTCAAAGGGCCTTTATGCTCATAAAAAAAGGACATAGTGGCCTGATTTTCAGAGTGCCTTTTTTTAATTCTCATTTTGACAAATCACCTAAAATTAAAACAGCTAACTCTGGCTAGGTCAGTAGCACTACCGGGTAGATGTCTCTGATCCATGTGTTTTATGTAGCTTCTCCAAGTCTTTACACCATCATTTTTTCCAGCAGGGGAAAATTGTAGTCCGGACAGACGTTTCTCCTTGGCTCTACCTTGGCCCCACTGTGGCTCTACCTTTTTTATACGTCATCCAAAATAATCAGTTATCCTTAGCCTTCTTCAGGATTTGTGCTGCTCTATGTTTAAGCTGCTGGAGGACATAGGGATAACTTTTCCTCCTCCTACTTCATTCCATCTCTTTTCATTCATTCTGCAATATTTGTCGGTTTCCACTCATACATTCATGTTCTCTATGCTTGTTCTCATCTTAGTAGCTTCATCTAGTATGTTCCTGTTCAGTTGTGACTCCATCTTGGATTAAAATATCAGCTGTGCTGCTGCCATTAACATCTTTGTTTATAGATGTTTGGTCTACATTGCTCAACAGCACATCTAATGAGGAAAATTATTTATTTCAAAATATTTATTAATGCAACTTTTTTTTTTTATTGTCCTGGCCTACTGTGGGAACTCTCGTCTCTTGTAGGCTGTAGGAAAATGCTTGAGGTATTTTCACAATATTGACTTGAAGAAGGTTTTATGGGGTGATAAATCTGCGTATGATTCATGCAGGGCAAGAAAGCTCTGGGCACTGAGATGTTTGCTTGTTTTTTGTTGAAAAGGTCCTTAAAACGAAGACTGACCTCCACGAACGTTATGCTGGAACATTTTAGTGGTTTTTAGCTTGTACCAGTAAGCTGCCATGCTTAGGTGAGTCAGATAAATACCAATCAAAGTGTAGCACATTTAACTGACCTGTCAATGAACTGATCGATGATGACGATGTCTCCAGGCTGAATCTCTTCCCTCAGGGAGCCACAAGCTGTGGTGCCCACCAGATGAGTGCAGCCTTCCTCTCTGAGAGCCCAGATGTTGGCCTGGTAGTTAACATTCGATGGCATGATGGTGTGCTGTCTCCCATGTCTACATTTGGCAAAAATAGAGATTTTTATAAACATAAACGGAGCAAAATCCAAATCCAACCATGTTTTCCCCATTGGATGCAGTGAGCACAGAGGAGCTTACCTTGCCAGGAGCACACATTCCACATTTTTGATCTTCCCCAATATCAAAGCATCTGATGGCTGTTTAGAAATAAACACAACAGACCGTTCAGACTGAAACTTGACTTCTTAAGACTAAGGTAAGTGTACTTTGGGACTTGCCTTTCCATAGGGTGTGTCAACGTAATGCTCTGTTCTTCCCTCCAGGATATCTGGATCATCAAGGCCTGAGCCGCCAATGATTCCTATCTAAAGAATAAAAAAAACAAAGCAATAAATCAGACTTCAGCAACAAAAGTTGAAATTTGCAACTACAACTTTGGTGGCTTTACTCGGCTCCAGTGGTTTCCTGCACTACAACAGTCCTTACAAAGAGAAACAACGATCCCCTCATCCCCACTCAAATGATTTACTATACAAACTAGACACACACTCTAACCACAGGCAGTAGTTCCCACCATAAAAGTGTGATTTCATCATATAAATCACCTAATTATTTAATGCAAGTGGCCTCAGTCTTGCAGAGGTCTGTTTGGCTACATTCAAACTGTGAACTGAATAGGATACTGTGCTCTTACTGAAAGCATGAGACCATCAGGGGACAACGCCAGTGACCTTCATTATACCGTATGGCCCACAGAAAATATACACACGGTGTGAAGATCTTTTAAACTTTCATCATTCTTTGTTTTCCTTTAAATATTTCTTAAAACTGAGCAACTATGTGATCAACTATACTGTGTCCACCACATTTTCTTTTTTCCTTTAACAGCATTAGATTTTCCTCTGTTAGCAAAATCAACTAAAGGAATGTTGCACTATTTGTGCTTTTTCCCCTGGAGGGCCTCATCCTCAGGCGTCAGTTCTGAGTTGGTCTAGACCAGGGGTCTCCAACCTGTGGCTGTGGAGCCATAAGTGGCTCTTTATAGACACTCCACAATGACTCATCATCACAAACGCTAAAAAACAGATATATGAACAACAGCTGGTTTTCATTTTCTCCATTGACTAATTGTGTTGCATTTCCAAAATAAATTAGTTCTAAATACAACAGACAAATATATTTGGATCATTTTTAAGTGGAAGAAATGTTGTTTATTTAACATAAAGTTCTAATCTAGGGCTGCATCTAACAGTTATTTTGCATATCGATTATCTTTTTGATTAATCGATTAATTATCGAATAGCCAAAGTTTTCTTAGAGAAGATTTTTTATGAAATTAAACCAGAGGAAAATAAAACTTTTCCACTTAAGGAGTTCTGGATAGAAGATATTGCCAGACAAATACGTTTTTTTTTCTTAAACGCAAAATGTGGATATATTTTTTAACAATTTTGGTATAACTACTGCTCTAAGCAGGTTGCTCTGTCAGCTAAAGGCACATTTTAGAGTCTTTATACTCCAGTGAAGGATTAATAGATTACTAAATTAGTTGATGATTATTTCAATAATCGATTAATCAAGATTAATTCCAATTAATTGTTTCAGCCCCACTGTAATGTACCATAAAATCATACATGTAGCCCATTCAAGGCCAATTTCTAATTCATTAGGGCTTCATATGCAAATAAACAGAGACTAGAGAGACGGCTGGGTAATGAAGTAATGATTTCTATTTCTGCACTTCTGTTGTATACTGGAGTAGACTTCTAGGGGTGGCAATGATAATAAACTTGTGAAAAACATTTACTGGTAAGAAATCTGTTTACATTCCTGTTTGGATTTCCCTTTCTGCATGGACTCACATGTTGTTTGCCTCACCACTAATCGGCTTGTAGTCTGACCCTTGCAGCCTGATCTTATCTTACTACCTTACTGAACAGCCCCACCCTGCTTTTCTCATTTTCCCCTCTGGTGTGATCTGGCATGAAATAAACTGTGCTGTAGATGGTAAAGCAGGACTAAGGCTACGTTCACACTGCAGGCCTTGATGCTCAATTTCGATTTTTTTTACGTGGCTGTTCATATTTCCAAATAAATGCGACTTGTATGTGATCGCCTGTGTGAACTGCAGTCATACAACGCAAGTGTCCCGCATGTGCAGTAGGGGGCGCAATGACATCACAGGCCAGTGTGGTCTTTTTTTTTTTTTTCAGAAGTAAACATGGATGGTAGTACCGGCACGCATGTAGCAGTCTTTTCCAACCATAAAAACACAATCTTTTAAATACGGTTAAACATAAATACTGCTCTCCTCATCATCATCTGCCATGGTTGTTGTTTTTCTTGCCACTTCTGCGTACCAAGACGCAGAATAGTGACCTTTGTCGGGTATTAATGACGTTCAGGTTGGACGAATCCGACCTGGCCGTTCACACACAGGTCGCATTTGAAAAGCTCAGATTCGTATCTGATTGGGACCACAAGTGGCCTGGGTCGCATTGGAAAAAATCGGATCTGTGTTGTTCAGACAGCCATGAAAAGATCAGATCCAGGTCGCATATGGGCAAAAAAAAAAATCGGATTTGGGACATTTCAGGATGCAGTGTGAACATAGCCTAAGTCAGTGTTTTTACAACCCTGGTCCTCAAGGCACAGCTTTCTCACACCTGTTCAATTGATAGCAGATTATCAGGCTTTGCTGAACTGCAATCATCTGAATCAGGTGTTCTGAAGCTCAGAAACATCCAAAACATGCAGAGCAGTGTGCCTTGAGGACCAGGGTTGAAAAACACTGGCCTAAGTGACCGGCTGACTAACCACATTGAGCAGACATCACATTACTTCATGAAATGACTATGAAGGGGAGTGGGGGCCTAGGGGGAGCTTGAAATCCCGAGGTTGTGTGTTTGAGCCCCACTCCCGCAGACAGCAACTCTGGGTCTCTGAGCAAAGACCTTTAACCCCACACTGCTCCCCAGGCGCCCTACAATGGCAGCCCACTGCTCCCCAAGGGGATGGCAATAATGTGAGATCAATGTGAGAGCAATAAAGTTGATTATAAAATCTGCTTAATTATCTTTACAACCCTCTTCATCATTCTTCACCTTCACTAGACATGGATATACTTTAGTATGTTCTGCCTTAAAATGAGTCTTATCAGTCTACCTTGAGCTTCACAGCCCCCCTCCTCACCCACTATCTCCATTCATCTCCTGGTTGCAATCTTTACTAACTGTAGCAGCAACGTCCACCTCTCCCTCTTCGGTTCTTTGAAAGAACATGTTTATTTTGGAAGTTTTTCCGTTCTTCCAGCAGCTCTTCTTTGCTGTTTCTTTTCTGGAATCCGCTTAAGTACCTCTCTTTGGAATCCATCGTCGCTAACACATTGTACGTAACGGTTACGGTTTTAATCGACGCTCTGGATTACCCATAATTCCAAGAGGTACATCGTTCTTTTAAGATCATTATTGCAGTTTAAAACATATTATATGAGTGTTTTGGTTTTTTTAACCAACCATGTAATAAACTATACACAGTTATTAACATAGTAATTAAAAGTCCCACTGTCGGCTCACCATCATGCAGACATCTGCCATGTGTTGGGGTATAAATACCGTCTGGTCAATGAACTTGGGGTAGATTGGGGTCAAGAGTAATTTTTCGCTCCATTACATCACCAAGGAGTCGTCCTAGTCTAAAATTTTACCGATTTACACCACTGGTTAAAGGTAAGAAGGCAGAAAACTAATGGAAATAGTGAAATAAACTTGATCAACCTTGAGGACATGTCAATAGAGGAATAAAAGAGTTTAACATAACTCCAGCCATTGTGGTTTCTACTCTATTGTCCTAGATGACAGTCAGCTGTGGGTCAGACTACAGGCTGCAAACAGCAGGGTGTGCTCTGACTGCCACGTGTTTTCGGATGGTTCAACTCATATTAAACGTTTTCTAAATAAAAAAAAATTTAAAGTCACGCATTTTACAGCCAGAATAGTGTTCAGACAGACATGTTTAGATCATAAACCGCAGCGACTGATTGCTGTAGCTTAATTGCAACGCTAGCATGGAGGAGCTTGTTTCTGCGAGGTTTGTCCTCCTCTCCACATCATGTGGTTTATTCTGTCCTGTCAGCGAATGCAGCCACACAGCTAACAGCAGCTAACATCAGCTAACAGCTAATCATCATCAAACAACGGTTCATACCTTCACCGGCACGGAGGACGCCATCACATCTATCTATCTGCTAGGTTTGGTTAAAATAGAAAGAGACCCGCTGCGAACAACATCCGTCTGCAGAATGAACACCCACTATTCTCTTCCTGTTTTGGGGTAAAAAATAAAAGCACTGCGAAAAAATATGCATATATCCACACCCAATTACTTAAATGAGAGATTATCTTCTTTACGAGCCAACCTTTGGTTATTTATCACCGAGCTACACCCAAGTGTGTAGATAATTGTTCGTAAAAATTATTAACCAAAGGGGGTTAAGATGTATTTATTTTTTTTAACAAAATAATGCAGCAAGTTTACTAGTCAGCCTTATCAAAAGTGCGATTTCATTCCATCCGTTTTTTTTTTTTTTTTCATATATTTTTCATTAAGGAACAGGATTAGGGCCACTGGAAAAAAAAAAGAAGTTAACTGGTTTTAAAGTTAACTGATTTTTAGATTTTATTTCAGTTTAATATTGGGAAAAAAAGTCAGAATTCTGAGATTAAAGCCACTTTAATCTCAAATCTTCTGACTTTTTTCTCATAATTCTGACTTTAATCTCAGAATTCTGCCTTTTTTCCCAGAATTCTGACATTAATCTCAGAATTCAGATTTTTTTTCTCAGAATTCTGACTTTTTTTCAGAATTCTGACATTAATCTCAGAATTCTGACTTTAATCTCAGAATTCTGACTTTAATCTTAGAATTCTGACTTTTTTTCAGAATTCTGACTTTTTTTCCCAGAATTCTGACATTAATCTCAGAATTCAGATTTTTTTTCTCAGAATTCTGACTTTAATCTCAGAATTCTGAGTTTTTTTTCCGAATTCTGACATTAATCTCAGAATTCTGACTTTTTTCTAAGAATTCTTACTTTAGTCTCTTTTCGTTGCCTAATTCCGTCATTTTCCACCAATGTTTTTCTGTTCCTCTCAAACAACTTACATCTTTTTCAGTGAAGCTGAGCGCTCACTCCCACATCTCTTCATGGTGCCCATCTACACTAAGATCCACAATTCTGAGATTAAAGTCAGAATTCTGAGAAAAAAAAGTCAAAATTCCGAGCAAAAAAGTCAGAATTCTGAGATTAAGTCAGAATTCTGACTTTTCCCCCAGATTAAACTGAAATAATATATTAAAATCTGTTCACTTTTTTTTCAGTGGCCCTAATTTTCTTCCGTATTTCCTTTAATATGCACTTATAAAAGGATAATATTGCGGAGTATCTAACAGAGGTTAATTGCCAGATGGTCGTGATTTATGACGCCCCTCATTTTCGGATAAACAGCTGGATAATCCAATGAGAGCGTAAACTGTCTAAAGCTGTGTTAGCTTTATAGAGACTAAAGTTTGGACACCATCTGTAATAGAAAAAATATTTTCATCGTTTTAAGGCCCCCGTTTTTAACCTTAATTCCTTATATGAAAGGACAAAGCGTATGTTTAAAACACAAGCAAGTGGTTGTCAATCGAATGTCATTGTAATGTTAACACATTTATAGCTACACATCTAATAGTAATATATAGTCTTTATTTTTTTCAGGGGAAAAGCAAAATTATTCCTTTTTTTACCAGATGTAACCGTTATCAGCTCTCTTTCAGTGGTGTCACCTTTATAACACTGCCCCCTTCTGGACGGAAGAGTTAAAAGCACATCAAAAGACTTCATGAAACACCTCATGTAACTGGAATTGTTTTGCAAAGAAGAATGGTCAAAAATGCCTTCAAGGAACCCTTCGAAAGCTACGGGAAGCGACCAGAGGCTGTTGTTTTTGCAAAAGGAGGATCCACTAAATATGAATGTCTTTTTTGCTGAGGTTCTCAAATTTTTGTACCTGTCAAGTTTTGTTTTAATGCATATTGCACATGTTCTGTTAGTCCAATAAACCTCAATTCAATACTGAAATATTACTGTGCCCATCAGTTATTAGATATATCAAACTGAAATAGCTGTTGCAAACACGCAAATATTTAGAAAGAACAATAACTAAGATTAATGGGGTACCCAAACTTTTTCATATGACTATATATATATATATATATATATATATATATATATATATATATATATATACACACATACATGTGTATACATACATAGTGTTGCGCCGATGCTATTTTTTTGGCCCCTATGCTGATACCCGACATTTGCCTGTGCAGTATCGGCCGATACCAATACCATACCAATACCATCTGTTTGAAATCGATGCGTGTATATAATAGTTGAATAAACTTTTGGCTCTTAAAATGGTATTGGTAATATTTTAGTGCTGACCCGATACACCAATATATATATATATATCTACATATGTGTATAAAACTAGTGTTGGAATGGTTGAGAATCTATAGCTTTACATGAGATTATTCTATAAAAGTCTGCTTTTTCAGTTGTGAAAACATGTGTAAACATTAGGGTGATGGCAAGTAAGTCTTCTCAACTTCAGACAAGGTGCTCATTATATAGGTAGGCGCTTATAGTAGGCGCTCATTTTATAAAAAAAAATAACCTGAATGTTAGAACTGTAACTATACAGTCATGTTTACATTGTTTTTTTTTTTATCACAATGTTATCTTTAATCACTTACCTTATCAAGGCTGCACTTGATAAGGTAAACACTAATTACTAAGACAGGTGTTGATCATTTTTGACTTGCCATATTTTTAGCAAAATATGTATTAATTTTTTCAATCGACTCTTTAAATTCATCTGTGTCATTTCTTGACAAAGGCACAGATAATTTTGTGTTTAATGGTTGTTTAATTCTCTAAACTTTTAACTGATAAACCTGCAATTAGAAACAATGGTACATCCCTAAGGCAGAGCAATTTGAACCACAGAAGAGCCTTTATTTACAAAGCTGAAAATGGGAGTAATCACAACTGCTCTTGCAGGCATGCATGTCTCCTATCTATGAACTTTATCTCATATTGTCTTACAGCATATCTAATAAAAACATCTCTTAAAATAAGTCATAAAAATATAGGTTGGGCAGAGTTACTATGTGCTGCAGTTCCCCAGTCTTGCTCTGGTTTTAAAATCTCGTCTGGCCTCGCTATTCAGTCTTTTTCCCAAAGATAAGGAAAAGTAGCTATTTTCTTGATGCCACTCCCAGCCTTATCTAAAAGACATTCTCACTCTTCTTGCCCGTTTTGAAGCTTGAATGGTGCATTACCTCCTTTAATGTAGTTGTTTATTAGGAATTGTTTAGGTGCCAAGAACCTACACGCCACTTAATTGCTCTGTAACACTTTTAATGCATCCCTTCCACCTGCTTCACTTAATACATATACTGTACTTAAAGGTTGTATTAGTATACCTTTGCAGTGTATGATTATGATCAATAATTTCCAGATTTTTTATATCTTTATTAGGAGTGCCAATAAGTGAAGCAGGTGCTTTGTTTGCATCCAATTAAAGAAACAATGAATCCAAAAGTCCAATAGGAAATTAAATCATAAACAACCATCTTCATGCTACCAGTAAATAAAAAAAGGAAATACAGTAACCCATTCAAATTTATTCTTAAAAGAAAACTCAATACAAGTCCATTTTGAAGTCAAAATACCATCGTAACTGAGCCACTTAGAGCTAAAATTACCCATAAATATTACAGATCTATAAAAACAGAAAGGTACTTAAATCCCTGAAAGAGCAGCGACTACTGCATATTGAATTGCAAAAATTATACTTTGTTGTTTTACAAAATAAGAGCTTATTGTTACACAAAAGATCTAACTCCAAATAGGTTTACCTCTCCCTTGCTTACATTGTTGTGTTCAGGATAAAACAGCTTGATTTAGGACATACTTTATATGGAGTCGATACTGAATAAAAAATTGCTGCTTTGAATATAGAGATGATTGCTTGCCTGATGCATGGCTGACAAATGAATTTTACTGTAAGAAAACATTTTATCAATAAAAAACAGTAATTAGACACCATTTAAAGTTTCCTGTGTGGTTTTGTAACCTTGAACATAGCAGAAATAGTTCTGATGTGAAATACTTGTTGGCAGTTGTAGAAATGAAGGTTCGATGCATCAATGTGATTGTAAACTGTGGTCCGCAGGCGTGAGGTTTACTCTGTCATCAGCAGCAGCGCAGTCAGAGGGATTTTCAGTGGTCCTGCTGACAGGACTGACACCCTGATTGGCAATAGACTCGCTGTCGCTTTCGATGGTGATCACATTTGTTGAGGACTTCGATTTGCGCTCAGTGCTCTTGCTTTTTTTACTTTTCTTTTTGTGTTTCTTCTTCTTCTTATGGTGGTGTCTGTGTCGTTCACTGTCAAGTTCTCTGCTCCCGCTCCTCTTCCTCGACCTGTCTTTAGGTTTTTTATGGTGCCTCTCTTTGCTTTTCTTCTTGTGTTTCGTTACAGACACCGAGTCGCTTTCGTTGGAGAGGTTTTGGTCTTTTTTGGGTGGCTCCTCCAGATGTTTTGCTTTGCATTTCCTTTTGCCTCCAGGCTTGTCATGATGAGACCTCCTATCAGGCGAAGGGGATCGGCTGGACTGAGACCCGGATCGGGGCCGCCTCCTGTGTCTTCTCTGAGAGGAGTCCCTGCTGCGACTCCTGGACTCAGAGGGTGAGTACGTGCGGCTGCTGTAATAGTAGGACCGCCTCTGTGTGTAGTGAGTCACGCTGCCGTTCCTCTCATGCCTGTAATGGGTGTATGACTGGTAGCTGTCCCTCTCCGCGTGGACTCTGTCACTATTTGAGAAGTGTCCACTGCTGGAATGAGAGCCGAAACTGCCGTGAGAAATTACCGGACTTCTGGAGTGCTTGCTCCCTCTGCTCTTCGAGTTGCTCTTCTTTCTCTTGTGCTCTTTCTCCTTCGACTTGCGTCTCTCCGTTGCTCTTTCTCTTTCTTCAAATCGTTTATCCGTTCTGGAGTGTTTGTGTACTTTTGATTTAGGTCTGTCTTTTGAAGACGACCGATGTCGGTGGTCTGTTTGGACATTTTTAGCCCTACTAGAATCGCTTCTGTGTGAAGCAGCAGGGCTACAGCTGGTGAAACGGATGTGTTGGGACTGGATGGGAGCGTCCTTGGTCTCCTCAATGGAAGAGTCGTCAGAGTCAGAGGAGAGATGGACCAGCTCTGGAGTCCGCTCTGCCGCTGGCTTAATGTATCCCACTATAACACAGTCGTCACTGTCAGGAGACGTGCAGCCGTTATCTGTGCGCTCAGCACAAGCAACATTGACTGGGCTATGCGATGTAATCTCTTGTGGAGAAACATTAAGCTCTAGCGGTTCCTCCTCTGAGCTGCTCTCTGAGTCCAATTCCAGGACTGAACCAAGTTGTGGTCTGCTGGTCTCTGCTGCAGTAGAATATGACGGCCCTGGTGTCTCATCGTCCCATAAAGACTGACCCAAAGCAGAAGCGGCGATCCCAGGAGGTTCCACATCGGCAGAGCTTTCCTCCTCCTCTGAGATGGCGATTACAGATGAGTTGGAGCTGCTGTGCTCATTTGAAGAGGGCGCTGGGCAGTCATAAACAGCATGCTGGTCATAGGCCTCCATATTGAAGGGAGACCTTGCAAAATTGATAAATTCGTGCAGAAAATGCTCCGTCCGGCCCTGCAGAAAGGGTCTGAGTTCTCCCTGGATGGCCCCGTCCTCCATGTCGTAGCGTGTGATGCGTGACATGATGATATGCTGAACTATGTTGACCAGAGAGCCGTGGGCCCCATAAAGCACCATGAGTTCCCTTTTCAACCACGGGACCAGTCTATGTAGACAGGCGGGATTTCTTCGGTAAAATTCAGCAGAGGTGTCTCGGGAGCGCCCTCCGTCTCTCACGTTTTGAACCCTCACCCCCCGTCGGTACAGCTCCCTCCTGAAGTTGATCATTTCCTGCTCCCTAACGTTGTTCACAGCCCTGCCTTCACTCGCAGCTCTCCTCTTAGCCGCCAACCTACTCATCATGCGTCGAATGTAACGATCCTGCCGCTGCTGTTGGAAATTTGCAGAGGCTTCAAACATTACACCGTTGTCTGGAGGCGGAGAGGTTCTCCTCATCTGTCGATGAACTCCAGTGAGAGTCGTTCGGTACCTAAACCGCACTCCCTCGAAATAACCAAAGGAGGAATTATCCACTTGCTGTTTCAGCTCATACTTCTGGAAGTCCTGGTCCGATTTTATGCTGTGATAGATTGAACTAAATGGCTGTTTACAAAGTGGACACTCGGGTTTGTTCTTCGACCACTCCAGAATACAGCGGAAGCAGAATTTGTGCAGGCAGCGGTCCAAGTACGACATGTTATGAAATGCATCCAAACAGATGGGGCACTTGGAGTCTGGAGACACTTCGGCAGACATTGTCTTTGCGGTTTTACTTCGTCTACCCTTCGGGCTTTGCTGCAGGGCAACCTTGATTGCTGACATGATCTGAGAAGAAAGAAAGTCAAACGCATTTTACAACTCAATTACAAAGAGATGTAGCCTGATAAAGCAGACTAAATGTGAAATTAAATGTGTAATAAATGTGTAATTTATTCTGGCCCCTGTGAATGAGACATCGGAAGTTTGTTGAGGAAAACGACCCATTGTTTTTCAAACCATGTCTGTGCCTATTGGCCAACGCTCTGACCAATGAACGTAACTGACTGTGACATAGTAAGTGCGACAGAAAGCTGGTGGGGGAGTATAAACAAAACAGCCTGTCGTTAAAACGATGAATACGTCCTTAAAAATGACTGAGCGTAGAGCCTCTTCCTGCTCATGTTTCAACAAAAACCTTGAGTCTAATCCTTGTAAAACTGATTCAAAGAGTCAAATGAGTACTGTTCAATAGGTGTTGCCATCTGTAAACTCCAGCGTTGCGCAGCTTTGTTGTCATGCCCTCAAAACGCCGCCCTCTTTGCATCCAGAAATTCAAAACACATCTCTGTGTTGTGATTGGCCGGCCAGTTCTAGGGCCTGGGGCATTGATCGAGGCTAGACCATTCGCAGGCAAAAATTATTTTGGCCGCTGGCGGGTGGGGCTAGTTTACTAGGCTAATAGAGATGGGGGGGGAAAAAATATTAATGTTTGAAAAGTTTGAGGTGAGACCCATGCAAAACTGCACTAATGCATCTGGTTGAAGTTTCTGGGTTACTACTACTAATAAAAATGATCAGGTTGTAATCCAGGATTCATACACATGATAAATAATGATCACTCATCCAACATGAATCAGAGCAACTTTCTACAGGTAGAAAACAATTTAGAGCCCTATCTACAAAACCCCCCATATTGAACTTAGGAGTACATTTTATGAAATGTAATGCATTCACTGATTTAAAAAAACAAAACAATACGAGTATTGTTATGGTTAAAGGATTGTTTAGCATTTATTTTCCCTAAAAATATATCAGGTTTTATTGAAGAACATGGGCTTATATGTAAAAGTTACATGTTTTTGGTTTCGTGGGGATATCTATAAAAGCAGAGAGGTCGTCTATTCAAGGTTATTGATACCGAAGCAAACCTTTTTAAGTAGAAAAACCGGTGTACACGGGGTCTTGCTTTGGGTAAACCAACATATAAACATGTAAGGTCAACAAATGCGAAAAAGACAAATCTAACCATTCTAAAACCAAGATACCCGGGACAGCTAAAGACTACCACAACTATTGTGATTTCTGGAATTTAATGCAAGTTACTGTGAATAATTATAAATAAATAAAAAACGCCAACGTTTACGTAGACTTTTCTCTTGCACATGTTTATATTACAAGAGCTAAATAAATAACGAAAAGCTGTTTACAGATCAACTTGGTGAAAGTTAGCAGGCTAGCTAAGCTAGGAAGGCTGGAAGAACTACAGCTGGTAAAATACGGCTTAAGGAAAAGTTGTTAAACATTTACCTTTTAATTTGTAGAACGAGTTTACAGTCGGTAACTGATTTTCCCTGCTGTTCTGGGGGAAACTCGCTCATTTCAGGGTAATTTTACGGACAAACATCTCCTTCCTGACGTTTTGTAACTTAAGGCATTACAGGTAGTTCTTGAGACAACTTCCGCATTTCAAAATAAAAGCCTCTTAAAAGTAAGCTCACATTTTATGTTTAACTTTGAAAATACTGACGTGCTTTAAATCACAGCTTGAAAGGAAAGTGAAATTCAAGGTTTTTGAAGACAAATAAGACTGAATTTAATTGTGTGTGTGTGTATATATATATATATATATATATACACACACACAATTAAAAAAAAGAAATTCGTTTTTTCCTAATTTACAAAATAGAAGTAGGATTATCAATGTTACCGGAGATTAAGAGTCAAGGGCATAGAACAAACCTGGGAAGTCAGCAATCATACTATGTAGTCTCGAAACTTTGCGCAAGAAAGGACTGAAACCTTGAAGACAAAGCTTAATCTGTAAAAGAGCCACCTTAGGAGCTAAACTATATCTATTAGAAAAACTATGCATACTGGAAGCATGCCTTTTATTCAAATGAGATGAGCTTTAATAAATTTATTCTGTTTGAGAAAAAGACCTTTAATTAAAAAACAAAAAACAGTTAAGCATGTTGGGCAGCATCTGTGTATGAGAACCTTGTCAATCAAGAAATATGATTAGTGAAGATGACATTTTGGAAGGCAGTCTGCAGCTTAAGTAGGTTTAGGTCATTGCTCTGTCTTCCAAAATAACAAGCCAAAACTCGCATTGATGGTAGAGAGCGACCTCCTGAAGACCAAGGTGGAAATTACAGACAGATTAAGTGAGGTCATCACTTAAAGATTCTCCATGCAAGAAAACCATCACATCCGATGCTGCATCCAGCAAAATAAAACACAATTACTAATAGCATCAATAAGTTTGATGAAGCAACTTCAATTCTGTGTGCAAAGTAAACCAAAAAAATGTCTCGTTAATATTACATGTTAATAACCAAAAAAAACAAAAACATTCACCTCCAATATTGCCCCCATCTTTATCCTTATGAAGTTCAGTTTTCTAAATTAAAACAACTGCTGTTTAAAAGAGAGATGAAGAATAACTACTAAATTAAAAATAACCAAACATTTCATCAATCATTAAAGCCATATTTTTGTTTTTATTGGAATATACAGTTTTTACAACAAACACTCAATGAAATGAATTAACTATTCAAAGTTCAGTGATGGCCATGGGTCTCGGGGAGATCAGGAACAACTTCCCCCGTCTCCAGAATGGTGTCACCCTGAGAACAAAATAAAACAACGACTCAGAAAGTAAGAGTATGAGGTCACAGTTAAAGAAATAACGATGTCCACATGTAACATCTAAAAACGAGTGTCAACAAGTCAGAATAATTTATACTTACAGGGAAAAGCTTGGGTTTTAGTTCCACAATGCCATAAGGTCTTTGCTGTGAAGAAAGATGGCAGCATTAATTAGTATCTGTCCTGATCAGAAAAGGTTTTATTCACCTACCAATAACACTAATAAGAATAACGTTTAATGATAAAAGTCAAAGTGAACACGGCCACATAGCTATAATAGATAATCAGGACCAACTTGAAAGTCACAAGTTACCCTAAAAACAAACTCAAAGTTTTAAAAACCAGCGAGGTGCTTAAACTTAAACTTGCTGTACATAATCCTTGCATATAGAAATAGACACAATACATTTACTTAGATAATATTGATTTAACAAAATCATTTTTTCTCTTTTTTTTTTTTTTTTTTTTCTTTACACATTATAGGTATTGAAAAAAGAAGTGGGAAGAAAAGAAAGTTGCAATATTTAATGCAATGAAGTCTGGTT